CATCCATCCATCCATCCATCCATCCATCCATCCATCCATCCATCCATCCATCCATCCTTTTATTTTTCCTGATTGATATTTGGGTGGTACTGTTATGGATTTGATTGGTTTCCAGCAGATGCTTGAGCAGCCTCTATCTGATAGTCAATTTCAGTTGGCTTATTGGTTTTCAAAGGATCTCCAGGACATGAAGTGACAAAAAACAACACCTGGAGCACAGGTGGGGGATGATGAAGAGTATTGTGACTGAGCACAGGTACATGCCCAAGTTTGGGTATGCTCCATAGCAATAAGAGAGGCAAAGCATTCTTACATCTCCTCTCTTACTATACTGGCAAGTCGTTGTCCAGCAGCCCTTTTTCAGATAGCTGATTTGGAGAAGCAGTTTAATGTAGGCATTAAGGGCACTAGGCTAAAACAAGGAGACCATGAGTTCTAGCCCTGCCTTAGGCATGAAACCAGCTGGGTGACTTTGGACCAGTTATTCTCTCTCAGCCCTAGGGAGAAGGCAGTGACAAACCGATTCTGAAAATGCTATCAAGAAAACTGCCTTGACTTTTCCAGGCAATTGCCAGGAGTCAAGACTGACTTGAAGACACACACAAAAACACCTCCTTTCTGAGTAAGAAGCATTCTGTAGAATTGCCACCAGGCTGCTGTGACCAATTAGCACAACAGTTTGCCAGTAAAGTTGCTCAAATTTGCTCAAGACTTTATTTCATTTGGATGGAGTCTGGTATTGTGATTAGGGTATCATCTTGTGGTATTACCTGGGATTTTTAGGCCTCTAACCTCTGAGAAAGTAGATAGGGTGTTCTCTAAGCTGTCTATGGGTTGGATCTTTGCCCCTCCTTGCTCCTTCAGGGAGTTGCAGAGAGGATACTTCCCTGGATCTAGGAAATTGCAAATGTTTCATTGCAGGAGGGGAGAATGCCAGTGGCCCTTAAATAGGTGGTGGTGGGCCCTCTTTAAGGGAACCTTCTTGAATCCAGGGATGTTAGACAACTACTTCCCAGTTTCACCCTTCCCAATTTATTTATTTAATTTATATGGCTCCCCAACTCACAGCAATGACACTGTGCAGCAAGCAATGGATTGAAACCAACTCATTCTGTTAAAATAAACAAGCAAAAACTATCACTATAGCTGTAATGGACAGTAGGAATAAACTTGGGGAACAGGAGGAAGAGCTGCAACCAAGACAACAGTCAGATAAAAGAAATTTGGGTCCAAGGCAGAAATGTAATTTGAGAAAATGTTTCAGACTTGATCCTCCCTAGTTCTCATGAAGATAAAGGGAGGGAGGAGAGAAGCACATTGAGACTTGCAAGATTTATGTCAGCCCTTCAAGGTAGACCAGACTGGGAAACCAAATTATGAATGCCAATACTACTTCTATTATACGGTTACAGTAACAGAATCTTACAAATCTGAATACACACTGAAAGTCCTGTCCTGGGGGCTGTGAGTTTCTGGATGGGAAAAAGTAGGGTTAAACTGAACCCTAGCAAGACAGAAGTACTGTTTGTATGTCAGGGTTCCCCTCTGGTCCCTGTGGAGACTCTGGATGGGTTACACTACCATTGAAGGAGCAGGTCCACTACTTGGGGGGTCCTCCTGGACTTTTGGATCCTCTCAATAGTAAGTGGAAGCCATGGCCAGGAAGCCTTTGGGTGAGCTTTATCTGGTGCACCAGTTGTGGCCTTGTCTGTGATGTGAAGATCTTATTACATTGTCTCATGCCTTCATCACCATCCATTTAGACTACCACATGGAACTGCCTTCACAGATAAACGAGAAGCTTCATTTGCCGCAAAATGCAGTGGCCTAAGTGCTCAGTTATATTACACCTATACTGTGGGCCCTGCATTAGCTCCCTGTTAGCTTCCAAATACAATTCAAAGTGCTGATTTAAGCTATAAAACCGCTTCTGGCTTGGCTCCAGATTACTTACAGGACCAAGGTCTCCACTGGAATCAGCCCCACCAATTTGATTGTACCAGGGGAAGCACATGGTAGTTTACCATTTCATGAGGGTGAGGGGGTTGAAGCCCAGAAATGTTCCTTTTCTGTGTTAGCGCCATTCTTCTGCAATGGCTTCCCATTAGAAGCTCATTTACCTCTGACATTATCTGCCTTCCAGAATAAGTTGAAGATGGAGCTCTTCCAGAGGGCATTTAGGGCATAACACCATCTATTTGTTGTTGTAGAGGGTTTTTTTTCTTTTAGGTATTGAGGCGTTTTTTTGTTTGTATGTTTGTTTTTTATATTATACATGTTGTGTTTTAAGTTTGAGCTGTTGAGAGTGGATTATTAATTTGACAAACAAATAAAATATAAAATAAGTTATTTTAGTGTATGTGCAAAATACACTAAAAGGTACAGAAGAAAAAATGAAATGGGTATAATTTCCAATTATTTAAAAAAAGGTTTGCACAAGAATACTTCCTGGTTGATTGCGCTTTGCTATGGTCCTATTTATGCTTCCCTAAAATGTTTCCTTGAACCTGATGGGGCTAGCTCCGAGTAGCAATCTTATAAGTGTCAAGACCCTAGCAGCCACTTATTATCAAAAAAGCTAGATTCTCACCAAATGTTATTAACTGAATTTATTGAAAGGGAGAAAGGGACTTAAATTACAGAAAACTTGGTAACAGGATGCATTTACTTTAGTCTCCCATTTACCTTTAAGTAAGGTGGGCATTCCTAAATCTTCTTGCTACCCACTTGTTGATGCAGTGGGGAGATGGCTTCCCATTTTCCAGATGAAAATAGAAGGTGTGGATGCAATAGGGAATGAACTTGTAATATTTTGCAAACTGTCTTTCACAGGTGCTGAGAAGTCCATTATGTCAGGACTTAACCATATATTAAATAACTGATTGAATAGAAGTCTAGAACTTTGAAGTCCAACAATCCCACCTCCAAATTACCCCCCAGACAATGGAAGGAGCACATCGGTCCAACATTGGTATCAGGACTGATGCAGACATGCTCAGGCCCAGTGCAGCTAGTACTGCCCTACGTCATCATCGTTTATTTTACTTAAACATGTAGAAATATTTAATTCTCAGTTGTGGTTGACTAAGCATTTACAAAATAATATTCATAGCATTGTAAAAGGGAATGTGTCTTTGATTTTTTTTTTTCATTCCCCACCCTTCCCCCTTAATATCTAAGAGATAGTCATGAACTCAAAATTACAGGATGTAGCTCCAATTTCTGAATGTATAAAAGCAAGGCTTTGGATACAGTAGGGACATGGATAAGTTTTATAGTTATTGACATGCATGAAGATCTCATGTTCCCGTATTTAGATTGCAGGCAACATTTAATCTGCCTGGATTTACATAATAATTTGCCCTTTGTTGCTGGTTTCCTCTGTCTAATTCTATGTAATTTCCATTATTCTTTCAAAGCTGAAATTGATAAAATTTAAGTGAGATTAGAATCTGATATAGTGGCAGTAAAATAATTAATTATTACATACATTAGCCATATAAAAAGAAGCCCTTCTCTTTGACAAAATTATAATATAATCTAATTTTTAATCAGTATAACTCTCATACTATATCCTTGTATTCTATTAGATAAACATTAAACTGACATCAAAAGCAGTTTGATGAAAATATGTACTGTGAAAAAGCAATGTACTAAAATGCAAATTTTAAAGGTTAGGAAGTAGTTTCCTAAATACTGTAAGTATAGCACTGCTTTGTAGCATCAGTAGCGCTCTAAGAAATGCACTGACAACCCATAAAATAGCAGCTGAGTCTGAATTGTTGAAGGAGATAATTTCTGAAATTCTTATTTTCAGATGTTGCTGTTGCTGCTTGCAGTGCAAGAAAAAAAGAAATAAACAGACAAAAATACAAACAAGGGAGGGAGGAAGAAAGGAAGGAAGGAGCTGTCATTGCTAATGATGAACCCCAATTTCAAGGCAATCTTAAGAAATGTATTCTTTTCTCCCTCTCCCCAATTTCCCTATCCACGAGTAGGATGAAGAATTATCATTTGTGTAAAGAAGGCCTGTATGTAAGTGAACAGAGATAGCTAACATGCTAAGGAGGAAATTCTTAAATGTAGTTCATTTCTATAATATTCTGTGATTGCCTTTGTTTCACATTAATTATTATGGAAGTGAGGAATTTATATGCTCCTATACAAACCTAAGACATATAATAGTACTACTACTATTACTACTACTTATAATAACAAAACTTGCTAATAATTATGTTTCAAACTGTATAAAGAATTTCACATTTTAAAAACAGAATAGTAATCTTTAATAGGAATTTAAATTTAAAATATCAATGCCAAGAAGAAAAAGCTGGGAAGACAACATGTTTTATAAAGACAAACCCTAGCCACAAGGCTCTATTTTCTTCAGTATGCTGGAGAAGATTAATACAGTTGACTGATTTAGTATGAATTTAGTATTGATAAAGCCCCCTACTTTAATAGAAAAAAAAGACATTTTAATTAAACAGTAAAATTACTCTAGAACATCCTAGCTCTTGGTAAATGGTCATTTTTGAGCCTGTATTATACCTGCTGTTTTGGGAATAGCTTGCATACTTAACAACTAAAGGAAGATCAACCTTATGGTTGGAAAATATAGAATACTTGTTGTGGGTGAAATGGATTTATCTATTTGGTAGTGTACTATCTGCTATTATGTGGGCATGCATAGCACAGCTTTGAAGCCAAAAGCAATGAAGTTATTTTGAAATATGATTCATGTTGTTCATGTATAGAGCAATGCTGTGGTAATGCTAGAGGAAGGCAATACTTATTTTTGTCCCTAAGTGTGAGCTCTACCTTCTAATGTCTGTTCATCAAGCACAATTGGTATCTACTCTTGGCATCTACAAACACCAGGCCAAGGAAATTTTCAGAGATTTTTGGCTATTAGCGCCCGAACTGATGTAGAACTGCTTGCAAGCTCTAGATCTTTACAATGGTTGGCCAGGACAAAACGATGTTCCAAATATAAAAATATCTGACAAAGTACAATCTTTACCAGAGCAAGATTGGAGATGCTGGACTTGATGATAAAGTATGGGCAATTCCATTATGTGCCATATGATGACAGAAAATGCATCTGTGGAGCTCCAGACATAGAAGACATTGCACATGTCTTACTTGAGTGTCAATTATATGCTCCAACTATATGGACAAAACAAAATTTTTGGACCTCAACAATACATTGTCCTATCTCTTTCAGGGTACTAATAAATATGCAGCCAGCAGAACTGTCAAGTTTATAGTTAAGGCTGTTCAGCTAAGAACTTGTTACAGTACATAGAACGGATCAGGGTCACATGTAAAGGTGTGTGAGGGTTGTTTTCCAGGGACTAGGCACGCCACAGCATAGCAAAGCTATACAAAATGCTTTATTGCAGCATACACCTTTCCCCGCCAACAGACTATTGCTCTTCACCCATCTAGGACTTGCAAGGTGACATTGTCACGTACATATCTCTTTAATGCCCAGTCCTTTAATACTTAGTTCAAGCAAAAGTCTATAAAATGTATAAAATCTGTATAAATATATAAAGTTTGTAAAGTCTGTAGAGTGGCATACAACCTTTAAGTCTTTTCCAAATATTCTCACACTAGTTGTGATAAGGTACTGCTTGTTCCTCTTTTAGTTGCTACTGAGCTCCCAGCAAAGCTCCAGGCAGGACTCCCACCAAGACAACCTGTGGACTTAGCAGTGGAATGATAGTCCTCTGGCCTGCTTGCCTTAGCTGCCAGTCTTTAGATATTGCCTCCACTTCCCCATCTGTAAGCTGTTTGCTTCTCATGTTTCCAGTTACACACACCTCCTTTCTCACTCTGTCTCAATGTTTGCTTTTCTAAGCTAAGATCCTGGATGGGGTTGGGGCTGCTTGTGGACGTCTGCATGTCCTTGAAAATGCCAGGGTGTGGCTCATTATCACAGGCAGCTGGAAAGCTGGCCTGGATGCTTTTGAATAGTCAGGGAAATGGGGTGAGAAGTGTTCTTGCCCGGCTGCAGCTTACCTTTCCAAAGCACAGGCAGCAACTCCAACTCCAAGGTGATGCATTCATTTGAATACATTTTGTTCTGGATTTTGGTGCATTTATACTTATTTTATCCTTTTGTTAGGTAACGCTTTTGTTGTCTTTTGTGATGGTCAATTGATTAAGCAATAAATTGCTATTGTATTAGGGATATGCAGAAGCATGTATGAATTATTGAAACAGCTGCATCTTTTCCCAGGCTCATGTGGCTGCTTCACTTCAGAAAATGTTCCAAGCTGGCTCTACATGTCAACAGTGGCTTGAAGGGAGGGGCTTCATATGCACTTCCACGCATTATAAAGCACCTCTTCTGAATGATTTGCAAAACCTTGGAATCCATGTTGGTGGTTTTCCAGATCAAATGATGCACTGACTCATATATAGAGGTTCCTCTGAAGAAATTTGAATTCACCATGCACGCATTATGCTAGTGTAGGGAGATATAACTGTTGGGGCATGGTTGGTGCATGACGATTCTCAGGTTTCATCCTGTGAATAATGTTTGAATGGTATTTGTTCTATATTTATAGTTTCCCATGTATGTTAGTTAACTAGTTTGACATGCAAACATGGTTTGTAACTAGGCTAAAGCTTACCTGTAGGAAAAACCTGAAATAGCGGGTCTTCTTAATGAAACACAGGTGAACTATATTTTGTGGCTTGATGACAATCTTTTTCCTTGGCAGGATGCATTTCAGTTTATCCAATTGTGTGGCGATTGTCTTCTTTTAATCTTCATTTTCATCTAGCTCCCTCCCAGCAGCCTCCACCACAAGGACAGGTTCTAAATTCTTCAGCTATTAGACTTGCTTGGAATCCACCTGATTCTCCAAATTCAAACTGGCTTGCTTACAAACTCTACAGAAATGAGACTCAAATCTACACAATGGAGGACTACTATCCTTATAGTGAGTGCTCATTTGTACTATATATGCATTTATAATTTGTTTACTTTGAGAGTTTTTTTTTATTCATTTTATTCTCGATTGGAGCACTGTGTAACATGTTATTCCACATATAAAATACCTTGGCTGTTGTTTTTCACACATCAAGTAAATATAATTTTAAGATTTTCTTTGTGGGGTTTTAAGTCACATTTTCTTCTTTGACCCCAATCTATTTGCTGTTGCTGCTGCAGTTTTTAAATCAACATAATATATGTTATGTGTGAAGAAATTTCTAGCCTGTTTATTCAATTCATATTTTTTAAAACTCTTGTTATATTAGCTTTCTGGGGATGGAAAAACAGACTTACTTCAGCCCATATCTTAAAATGTTTAGATTTTTTGTCATTCAGATGCCAAGTGATGCTTTATTCTTTTATATATTGTATGCTAGTTTGCTACACATAGGATTTGTACAACAGAATTGGATTTTGGCATATACCATTTGAAATAAATATGCTGAGAAAATTAAAACAAAAAAAAATATTCATAGAACTGAATAGAGTGGAAAAAGGAACAAGAACTTCCTTGACTCATGTCCACACACACACAACACCCACTTCTTCACTAGGTTACAGTGATGCTTACTGCTACAGTACTTTTCAATTAATATACACTTAATAAATTAATGTTCAGTATATGTGTGTACACACAGTGGCCTTAGCTTATCAAACTATACATACATTTCTTTACAGAGCGTTTTGCAGGTTCTTAACTATCCCAAGTGTTCCCTTCCTGATTCTCCCAGGTGTTCCCTATCTCTATTTTGATACGCTGACTCATGAGACAGCTTCAGTAACTTCTCAAGCTTGCTTTTAGCCGGGGGGATGAGAAGGGAAAGAGGGAAACATAGATCTTTGCTGAGCTTCTTGAATTCCAGCTTCTTGGTCAAGCTTTCGGAACTGACTCCCAGTCAATCCTTCCAAATGTAGCAGTCCACCAGCCAATCTGCTCTGCAGATCTCCTTTTCTGATCTTGCTTGTTTCTGCTGGGCCATCAGCTGCAGTTTCTTCTTCCAACCATGCCTGGATTCATCCAGCACCTCCAGTCCATACAGCACAAATACAACACCAGCCATGTCCAACAGCCACTGACAATCTCTTCCTTTGCCTAAGAGATCTGCCCTCTGCATATTTTCATCAGTAGGCAGATGTGCCCACTCCCAAGTGTTTTAATTAGGCAGGAAACTTCTAGGTCTTTACATGACACTTTGAATAGTGCTGGCAAATAGACAAGATCCCTAAACTTTCAGACCAATGTACAGCTCTGTCCCAATCAGGACATCTTGCCCTGCCCTACACTGTTTTTTAGAATATTCTGTGGGTGTCTTTTCAAGGTCCTATTAGCATATATAAGCAGTTGCTCTTGTAACAGTAAGTGCTTGTTTGCCTAATCATAGTCTGATATAGACTTCTTCAACAAATCATTAATTTCTAAAGCCCAAATTGTGTATGTGTTTGTGTGATTAGATAGATAAATAATCTGATATGTTCTGGCAAACATTATTAATTATTTGAATCCTAAGGAAAATACATAAACGCTGCAAAATTCTCAAGTTTATGGCTATTCTCAGGATGTATATAGCATTTATATTACACACAATCACCTAAATACTGTTGCCTGCATAGAAGTCCTAGTCTGAATAACAGTCTGAAATTACAAATATAAAAGCTTCCAACTTTTTAAGGAAAGTTATTAGTATCCTCAAAACCTGGCTTGATGATTTAATTGATAGCTTTCTAGAGCTAGAGCAAAACTATGTTTAGAGTTTTTCATATCAAAGCAAGAATACAAATAGATGGACTCTAACGAAATCTTTCTCTTTTAAGTCTTAATTTCTTTTTTTTTAAAGTGTGCTTTCATGAAAGACAAACAATTGGATGTTTCTGTTGATGGAAATGTTTCCATAAGTGGAACCGGGACATTGCTAACCCTTCTCCCCCGCAGTGAAGCATAGTCCTTCCAAACCTTCTCCAGTGTTGTTCTATCAATCCTCTGGAGGGGCTGCAGGGAAGTGACAAGGGAAAGAGATGAAAAATAGTTACATGAGCAGAAATGTATTTGTGCACCACTGACTTTCATTCCAAACTGTTCAAAATATTCATTCCTATAATTTAAAATATTGATTATCCACTGTATTGAGATATTAGTAGGGATAGACATTTTATGCCAGGTTAGAAGTATGTACTCTGGTCATTTCCCCTTTAGCAATTTATTATATCTTTTAGACCAACCATGTCTGTGCCAAAATAATAGTAAAGAGGACAGGCTTTATATCACTTCAGCAATGGCTGGGTGATGCTGTGAAGACACTATAAGTCACTAGTTGGGAAATGATGTCTGTCTGACTATTGGTCCATTTAGTCCAGTATATCTACTTTGACTAGCTGTGGCTCTTCAGAGTCTTAAGCAGAGGTTTTTTTCCATGATCTGCTACCTGAACCTTTGAACTGCTGATGATTGAGCCTGAGATTTTCAGTATATAAAGCAAATCCTCTGACATTAAATGATGGACTCTTCCAAGAGAGTGCTTGAGAAACCACTGCCCTCCTGTTTGTTGAGGGCAACCCTGAAATACTTGAATTACTTATCAAGAGAAACTGATATAGATAAACTGTTGGTATGATCCAGCAGATCTAGCTTTTGTTCCATAGTGCTTTAGATTAGTTCCAGAAAATATTCTTTGTTGTTTGTAAAGGAAAATATCTTTTTATTAGCATGCTTCTTACTGTAAAGTTAAATAACATCCAACATTACATTCTACTTGTTTCAGATAATGCAAACACAAGAAAACAAACAAAAACCCACCCATGCACACATAAATGGATGCAGCCCTAGCAAAAGTCATTGCACTGTTAGAGATGTAATCCAAAGTGCTTGGCTGCAACTTTAACTGTAATAGCCTAGCAAGAAACATAATACAGAGGAAATTAAATATAATTCATCTAATGTGAATTAAAAGTGAAAGGCTAAGATCTCCATGTTTTATATTTTGTAGTTCTACTAACATTTATGCTAAATGGTTGAGGAATTGATAGTAAAATATGTCTTGTTTTTAACTTAAGTCTTACGTTGGTTCTTCAGTAAGGACTTAAAATGCAGCATTTCAATGTTGACAAGTAAGATGTAACACCTTTTTTCCTTCTCGGTGAGTTTTCCCCACCACAGAGCCTCAGCTCCAAAAAATTGAGATCCTGTGATTTGTGGCTCATTTTCCTGAGTTAGCCTTTTAGCTCTATGGCTTCAGACAAGCAAACAAACAGACATGCTAAGTTTTAACTATTCAGCATTTTATTTACTACATTCTTTTTAAAATGATTGTCATATTTTGGTTAGTAATATTCTCCAGCTTCTTTCCTGTGTTTTTTTTCCTTTGTCATTTTATAAGAACTATATTCTAAACTGCAGGTTATAATTTAATGTATACTATAAAAGTAAAAGAAAAATGTTTATATATTTGATGCAGGCCTCCAGGTCTTTGTTGATAGCAATTTACTTCCGTATGCCTTCTATGCATATCATCTTGAAGCAAGCAATGTCCACGGATCTACAAGAAGTACTAACTTGACCTACAGAACACAGCCTGGGATACCTCTAGGAAATTTGCATTTAAATCCAATCTTTCCTGTTGGGCCATATTCTATTTCTTTTAACTGGACAGCCTTATCAAATGACTCTGGTCCTATAGAGAAATATATTTTGACATGCATTCCTTCATTTGAACTTCAATCTTGTGGCCAGCATGAAAGCTTAGAAACCTCTATAACTGTCTGGAATTTAGTTCCATTTAAAAAATACAGCTTTTATGTTCAAGCATGTACTAGTGGAGGCTGTTTGCTAAGCCAGCAGCTATCAGTAGTTACTGCACAAGCTCCTCCTGAGGAGCAGCTCCCTCCAGTCATACAAAGCATCAGCTCTACTGAATTGGCTGTAGAATGGGTCCCACCCAAGAAAACCAATGGTAAGTTTTATGTTTGATTCAACATTTGGGGAGAATTGTATTGGACCCATATATTAACAAGATTTTTCCTGAACACAGTCTAAGTTGCTTAGATACATGAAGGTAATTGGCATAAGACTCAATGATGCTTGCTTCCCTTTGTCCCTCCCCTTTTCTACCCTCATTCATGATCAGTAGTCACATATGGGAAGTTGGGAATAGCTCAGGGGTACATCACACACTTTGCATGTAGATGATCTCAACACCTCTAGATACGGCTGGAGAAACAAACCTAAAATTTGCTGCTAGCCAGTACTGGACTGGATAGACCTCTGGGGTGACTAAGCACATAAGATAGCATCCTGTGTTCTTTTGATAGTGTGAAAGGAGGATATGAATATGAAGGATATGAAAGGAGCTGTACAATCCAATGGAAGTCATGTTCCCCCTGAAAACTGTGTTTTCCAAACCGGTGGATGGTTCAGTCTTCATCCAGTAGAAGAATCTATATGTGAGAGTACTTTTGACACCACCTTTAACTAGTACTGGTATCCCTGATTTGGAGCCATTCACAGACTATGAGTTCTGTGTTTTATGTTCTTTTTAATAGTGTGTCAGACATTACTGGCAGCATGTCTTCTCCTTCCAAAGATCTAACTGAACAGACTTAACTTCTGCTTAAGAGAAGAAATATTTATGGCCTACAGTTTTCAGGAGTAGAAAGAAAAATCTTGGAGGTCTGCAAATAGTTGTTGAGGTAATGGGCAGTGCATTGCATACATGTGGTGTCTCTGGTTGTCCTTAGAGATCTAGACAAGAAGGTATCAGCCCCACTAGGTAGCCCAAACTAGGAAATCAACTGCACAGGAAGGCTAACATTACTTTTGTTGAGGTGAGCTATAATAACATAATCTTGCAAGTCTGTGTTGTACCTCCTCCTGAGTCACTTCTGAATGTTATCTTGTTACTCTGGATTTAAAAAAAAGTTTCAGCCCCTTTTGTCTAGGTAACAGTTCTTGCATATTTCCCTCAAGATCATCACCCTTACTCTCTACGGAAGGTTTCCTCCAAGTGTTGACCTTTAGAGATTGTAGGGCTGGGTCTTTTCAATTGCTGCTCCCTAGAATATCTCCCCTATTATTAGATGGAGCCTGTTTCTGTTACTATTCTGTAAAGCAATTAAGACCTAATAATTTCAACAGGCCTTCAGGTTTTGAGGGGTTCGTTTTGTCCCTCTCAGAGGTTGAATGTGTATATGCGTTATGGTCGCTCCTTAGTGTTTGGGTAATTGATACTATTACATTGTTGTGCTTTCAGTTTTTAATTTCTTTACTTTTTAAAGGTCTGTAAGCTGTTTGGAGTCAGACACAATTGCAGCAGCATATAAACCTAGAATGAATCCACAAATGTTTGTGATCATTGCCAGCTGAGGTAGAAAAAAAAGGGGGATTCATATAAATCATATGCTAATCTCACATTATGTTCACAACTGCATCTTTGGCAGGATGGGTTAGGCAATATAGTTTAAGTCACATCAGTAGATATGGTTTCAGCAGTAGATAGTAATGACAAAAGTACAAATGTAAATATTTTCAGAGAAATATGCTTCTTTTATAAACTGCCTACTTTCATTTCTAGGTGTAATTATTAGGTATGAATTATATATGAAAGGAGCTCTACAATCCAATGGAAGTCATGTTCCTCCTGAGAACTGTGTTTTCCAGACCAGTGGGTGGTTCAGTCTTCATCCAGTGGAAGAATCTGTACGTGAGAGTACTTTGACACCACCTCTAACTAGTACCATCATTACTGATTTGAAGCCATTCACAGACTATGAGTTCCGTGTTTTATCAGCCAATATGGCTGGCAGCACATTTTCAAATTGGACATCGCAAAGAACAGCAGAGGCAGGTAATTATTTGAGTTTGTAGATATGTTAACCCTTTAGGTTTATATTTGGGAAATGACTTTCAAAACTAGTTCCTTGTTTTTTAAGAAGTTTGGTTTTTAATTTAAAATGTCATTATTCAAGTTGATATTCTCCATTACTCTGTTAAATTAAAAGAAAAGTGGGGTGTGGGGGAGAGGACTGTAGGGTTTTGGATTTCAGTGGGAGCCACACATGCTCTGTAATATCTAAACTTGGCTTTAAGTTATAAGATTTAGAACATGCAGAATATTGATTTCTAATGACTTCATACACATGCTTTACTTACTTTGGCTAATGATATTTAGCTGCTAAAAACTTATACTGTGTTCATTTAAATAAATTAAATAAGTGAACACCTGATAAACTTACCTAAATCCACTGATTTGATTTCTATTAAATTTACATTGAACTTCAATTTGTGAGAACTTGCTGGGAACTAGAGTTTCTCAGGGCAGGAGAAAAAGTTACCAAGGATATAAATAGGGTCCACAACATCTTCTGCCAGAGGGCAAACAATTCTTTATGTCGCTACTGTCTTGGTTTATAATAAAGATTCTCCCTAGCTGTGCCATGTCTGGAAAGCTTTAGCTAAGTTTGTGCCAGGTAAGGAATCTGAACTGATGGGAAGAACTAAAAAACTAGTCTTACAAAATCTACCACTTGGGTATCTCAATCCAAAACACCTTTTGGCTGGGCAAATTAAATAATGGCTTAAAGCCCAGGATGTCACTTTTATTTGCTTGTGAATCTAAAACCTCCAGCAGATTTTTCTGAAGAGTGATATGTAAGAAGTGTTTTCCAAAACACTGCCAATTAATAGTGCCTATATGGGTTCCAAAACATGGAATTATCTTTAAAAAGTCAGAGGTCATAAAATTAAATTATACACACACACACACATGTACATATATACACATACATACTAGAGAGACCTATGAACTTCCTAGCTTCTCAATAATTAAATGTACTTTGCTGAATTACTCAGCCTTCCTCTTAATCAGGTTTTCCCAGGTTATGATAAGCCTATGCTTTTGTATGAAGCCTACATTGTGTTTAAAATTTAAGTGGTGGTTTGTGCATTATAGAAAAAATAGATCCAATAGTTTGCTTATAGGTGGGAAACATTTACTTTGAAGTTGTAGCTTTAAAAAAACATATGAAAATTCCTTTTAGACCTGAAAATTAATTTCTACAAGCTGCTTATTTAGGAATTGGATGCAAAGAGCCATTTTATCAAGTTTAACAGATGGTATTTTACAAATATAGTGGGAAAACGTGCCTGACACATGTTGTTCATTTATTTTATGATAAATTAGCACATTTATTTGTGTTTTAGCTCCTGTATTCATGCCACTTCCATCAGTATTCCCTCTTTCACCATATTCTCTCAATGTGTCTTGGGAAAAGCCACGAGATAATGAAGCAAGAGGAGAAGTGATGGGGTATAGCATCAATGTAATTACCGAACAAAAAGTATTGCCAATGTTTTCTCAGGTATTATTGTTATTAGCAATCTGCTTTCTCTGCTTATTGATATATGGATCTTCTAAAGTGGTCCCAATCTTTTTGGTTATGCCAAATTGAAATTTGCCAATGGAGAAGTGCCCGGAGTTATTAAAATGCAGTAGGGCATCAAAGTTGTTATGGCAAACTGCCCAAGGTGGATCTGACTATTTATTTGCATTCTTGTCAAATGGCAAGAATGATTTTTGAAAGACTGTTCTGAAGTTAAATGGCCCTTTGTGTACGTAAAGATGTGATTTTATTCTGAAAGGATATCCAAGAAGCCCAGTATGGATGTACCATTTCCTATTCTTCTGGTTGTGCCTAAAAGAGTGAGTATGGGCTGTTTTCCCCTTCCCTTTTCCTTTTTTTCAACTGACCATTTTTTAATTTTTTTATTATTATTATTATTATTATTATTATTATTATTATTATTATTATTATTATTAT